TCCCCTGTGTGCCTTGTCGACTCAGTTTTGAGGGATCTCTCGAGTATCTGCAATATATACGCGAATATTTAATTTTTACATTGCAAGAACTATTTTCTCACAGCTTCGTTGATTCCTTTTTTTTTATTACCTTAGAAACTGCGGGACATCCATCTCTGCGAACCGTCTCGATTCCTTTCGCCAGGAACTCGGGCTTCTCCTGATCCCGGGTTTCATACATGTACCCGCAATACCGTTTTTTCGTCTGGAACATTGAATTTAATAATTTATTTACCAATATTTGCTTTATATATAATGAACACTGTACGCGCCGAAGTCTCGCTACTTCTGAATATCTTACTTGCAAAATAGCTGGATGGAGAACTTTCACAAATTTAAGCTTCACGGGCGGGGGATTGATCGCAATGACGGCATCCGCGATCTCCTCGCCGATGGTAAACGCCTCTTCGCGCGATTTCTCGGGTAACAGTACGAATAAGGAATCAGTATCCCCGTAAACTACTCGTGCGCCCCATCTTGGCGTGGCTTCCACCAGTTTGATCGCACGTTCCAATGTCTCCCGTCCTTTGCTAACTACGCTGTCGCCTATCTATTAAAAAACGAACAAATCTCATGAAATAAATGATAGTTTTTATGGCATCTGAAAGAATTTTGTCAAATGTATTTTATCTTCATATATCCTCGTAAAAGACTTAAATTGTACCTCGATACATGGCATTCTACCGCTAAAGTTGGCGGATGTGTAGCCGTAAGTGACGTTCGCGATCAGCTTGAGGCCCAGCTGCTGAGAATGAAGGACGCGCTGCAACGTACGGTTCTCCGCCGGATGTAGCTTCATAGACTCCTTCACCATCAGACGCGTGTTCAAAATTTCCGACAGCATACGCGGCAGTATTCCCTGACGTACCTCCTTCTTTATAAAGGCTACGCCGCAAGGCGAGATGTTCATCTTGGTCTGCAACTTCAACGCCGTGCTCTTCCTTGTTCTTAATGTTGCTGCACCAAACTCGAACGGCCCGTATCTGAACAGAGAAAGATATCGAATTAATAAGTCTAATTCGACTTTTCTGATATTAAATATACTCACTGGCCTATGTGTTCGACTCTCCCCAAACAGGTGGAGAAACAGTAGTTGTAGGCGATGATCATGCTCGGATACAGGCTTTGAAAATCAAGCACGATCAGTGGATCGGTATAAAATTTAGATTCGGGTTCCATGATCAACGGTAGGCACTCCGGCGCGCGCATCTTCGCTCTCTGCTGGACGGACGGAGAGATCGGAATGTAGTTCATCGGTTTCGCTAATCTGAGCATCATAGATTCGACGCGAAACTGCGAGCCTCGCGAGAAAACTTCGTAAAATTGTATTCCAAAAAGTCGAGCGTGTTCACACGTGCGACCTATAATGAGCATAAAATAATAAATTTAAGAAAGTTTGAAATAAATAATGGATACCATAAACGGTATGAAGGAAAAATTAAAAAATTTGAATTTTTAATTTTACCTATAATATCCAAGTGATTCAGAAGCTTGAGAGTGCCTACAACCCTGGT